GGGATGACGAGGTTAAACGGTTATAAACTACTGCAAGACCGTTTGAGGCTGGACAAAAGGAAGAATTTCTTTACTGTCCAAGCCCCCAAGGTCTGGAATAGCCTGCCATCGGAGGTGGTTCAAGCACCTACATTGAACACCTTCAAGAGCACATTGGACGCTAATCTTGCTGGGATCCTATGACCCCAGCTGACTTCCTGCCCTTTAGACGGGGGGCTGGACTCAATGATCTTCCGAGGTTCCTTCCAGCCCTAATGTCTATGAAATTATAGTTTTCCATGTGTAGAATCTAATTATTGGTGGGGTTGTCTTGAATTTGACATCATCTTGGGTTCAGGTAAATATACTGTGGTGTTTTCCAGCTTGTGAAAAAGACCATAATTTTTTCTATATTATGTAGTAGGAAGCTGTCTGTTCGTGTCTAAATAATTATGCTCTCTTAGTTGGTTCAGTTTCCCTAGTTGTTTTGGAAACAGTGACCCAGTTTAGCTATATGGAACAAATGCTGCTGTTGGGTATGCTGTCTTTCAGTTGAGATGTATAACTGAGGTCCTTCCTAGTCACTGGGACTGCTTGCAGATGTGGGGGAAAAAGCGCTTTAATGGAAGCGGCAGCAGCTGATTCAATCAGCTGTTAAATAAAAGTGCCAAAAAACCCCCATCTATATAGCACCTGATCTATACAGACACTGCAGAGCCAGGTTGGACTAATGTGCTGCCTTTCCTGGGTATGTGTTGGGCTCAGCACGGGAGCACATCAAGTTTGAAATAAAGCATTCGGGTTTTTTTTCCATGTCTGCATGCAGCCTAAATGTTCTGTAGAACTTTGTAAAAAGTGGGCTGTTTACCCAAAGTAACATGGACACCATTAAAGCACCGTTATGAAATTCTGACATCTTATACTCCCATACTTTTTTTTTTTATTTGCTACAGAAGTCTTTGTTTTTCTGCCCTAAACTGCTATGAGCCTTATGCTCCATTGTGTTGTGTAGCAAGCTGCCATAATCTACTGGAGAAGGGGCTTCAGATGACAGGTGAAATGATGGATGAACTCTTCCGAAGAGTTTATATTGTGGATTGTATAGGACGGCTTGGGTAGAGATGATCCTGCCTCAGGCAGGGGTTCAGACTAGATGACCTCTGGAGGTCCTTTTGTCATTTCCACTATGATTTTTATGATTAATGTGTAATATGTATGTAGCTGGTTGAAAAAGAGTAACAATTCTTATGAAAAATCTTTAAAAATTTAAAGACCTTCACCAGGTATAGGGGATAAAAACCATAAAGATAATGTAGGATGATGTCCTGTAGAAGTATAGACAACTAACAGAGGGTGGGAATATGCAGCCTGGTTTCTACAGATGTGATTTTATCCTGGACTTTGGGAAGGAACATCTGTTCAAAATAAACTGGCTGCTTGCAGTAAGTGCTGTTATAGCACTTGGCCACTAGGTGGCATAGAAGCTGGTTTGCATTGAGCAAAGATGACCACAGGATGAAATGAACTGGGGGAGCAAACACATGGCATGTTCTACATAGTAACTTTCAGACACAGTAAATTACTACATGTTTTTCAGTGGGTTACTTTATCCTGGATTCGGGTGACTTACTGCACCGTAAGGTTGTGCATCATGTTCATTCCATCTTAAATACGTAATTAAGTCAGTTTTCCACATAATCATATTGTGTGTCTGCACCTTGTGAAAGTCCCAAAATGTCTATGTTCCTCTTGCTCACTGTCTGTTGCCCTGTGTTTGCAAATGTTGGATCTGTCACCTGCAGAAAGAGACCTCCATAGTAACAGAGAAGGAATTCTTCTTTCTTATCAGTGACACGATCTGTATAGATGACCTACAGGACTGTCTGTTTTCTTAGAAATAACACTCATTTCAGGAAGTATAGACCCAACAAGCTGCTTTCTATCAGAGGTCCTATCCAGTTTCCCAGGACTGAGTTCTGCCTGTTATTGAGCTGATCTTGGCTTGTGGGCTGTGACAGTGTCAGGGACCCTGTCTAGTTCATAAATCATCTTTTTGACTCTTTTGTTGTAGAATAATAAGGATGGGGAAGCTGGTGATGTAGGGTATTACAGAGGGTGTGGTTTGTTTCAGATGTGTTCCCTGACTTGTTTTTGGCCCTGGCCATAGCCTCAGCCACTGTAATAGAAATTCCATAGTGGAAAATTATTTCAGTTGCCAAAATAGATATTAGACATTCATTGCCCTGATCTGTTGGTAAGGCGAAACCTTGTGTTCAGCCTTACTGGAGCCTTCTGTAATCTTTTCACCATCTGTCTCGGATCCCTTTCTTGTTTTGGGTATGATATTTCAAAGATAGATGACAATACATTCTGAGTGCTCATCTTATTCCACATTTAATGAGAAACCAGCAATCCTCCTGATCATCTTATTTTGGGGTGGAGATCCTAACTAGTAACTGTGTACTGGTTGCATCCAAGCTTGTCTTAGATATTTTACAGTAAATTATTTTACATTACTGTAACAACCAGTTTTGTGCTGGGCTTTCTGCATATTTGTAGAGGGAGAGGCCCCTCCTCTAAACAACCTGCACTATGAAAAGACAAAAACAGCTAAAAGATGGAGGGGAAAAATACAACATATACCCAGTGTGACGTTTTTATAGATTATTTAGTTCCAGTTTTGTAGTGTAAACTATATTTGGTTGCCCTGCTCTCATCATTATTAGTTGACTGTTTTCTTGTAAACATTATGGTGAAAGCAATTTAGTGAGGTATTTGAACTATCAAGAGAAGAAACTGTTATCTGGTATTTATTATTTCATTTTAATAGCAGGTTCCTCACCTAGTTCCAGTAGCAGCTCCTCCGTCAATCCAATGGCCTCTCTGGGAGCACTGCAGACACTGGCAGGGGCTACAGCAGGCCTCAATGTTAGCTCTTTAGCAGGTAAGCACTAAATAGAGTGGGAAGAGGGGAATATAGTTGGTCATTTTTTTTGGAGTTGTGCTGCTGCGTCTAAAATAAGCCATTCTGTTTATTCTTGCTTGTACTCTGTTGTTACTGCTGACAATAGTGAAGTGTAATTAAAGGTTGTCTGATAGACCCATTAGAAACATCACTTTTTAATTAAATCCTCATTTTTCCTTTCTTATATGTATAGGGATGGCAGCCTTAAATGGTGGACTCGGCAGCGGTGGCCTTTCAAATGGCACAGGTAGCACGATGGAGGCCCTCACTCAAGCCTACTCCGGGATCCAGCAGTATGCGGCCGCCGCTTTGCCCACACTCTATAACCAGAGTCTGTTAACGCAGCAGAGTATTGGTGCAGCAGGAAGTCAAAAAGAAGGTAGGCAGAAAACTGCATAGAATGGGAATGGAGATTTTGAGAGAGAAGCTTTGAGTTTTGTGCACATATCGCATGCACAGCTTCTTGAAATAGCATCATTTAGCATCCTAAATTAATTTGTCTGGGAATTTGTCCAGTTTTAATCTCCAATTTTGTGTAATGGTGCTTCAGGTCTTTTATGTAGGGAGCTGATTCTACAGCCCTAGTGCACCTCATAGTCAGGAAGGATTTTTTTTCCTTCTTAATTCCCTTTCACTACTTGCATTTCTTTGATTACCACCCTTAACTAGTCCCTGTCACTGGTGTTCTTACCCTGTAGATGCAGAGTTTATTTAGCTTGTAGAGTGAAAGTCATGTGAAAACACGAGGGGTATAAGAATTGGTTATAAGCAGTAGATTGAATGAGTTGGGTTGACTCAGAGGCAAGGGATAAGAGCTTAGTGTTTGGGGAGAGAGACCCACATACAGAGTATCGGGGCACTTTTGCCTTACTATCTAGATTTTTTTGTTTCCTTCTGCTGCATGCTTGGTGCAGGTGCCTGTTTTGTTCTAGTGAGCACACTGCATTTAAGCTTATCTGAGGGACTTTCATAGCTTATTTTGGAATCAAATAAGTGCAGTTTCTTAATGGGAAGTTTGTTTTCTTTGGGAGGCAGAGCAGATTTAATTGGATCAAATGGATATTGGTCTTTGATATAAAAGTAATGCTGAATTTCCTATGCTTTTTCTGAACTTGTGTTTCTTTTTGAATGCTTGAAGGTCCAGAGGGAGCCAATCTGTTCATCTACCATCTCCCCCAGGAATTTGGGGACCAGGACCTGCTCCAGATGTTCATGCCATTTGGAAATGTCGTCTCTGCCAAGGTCTTCATTGACAAGCAGACCAATCTAAGCAAGTGTTTTGGTATGTTGAGTCCCATCACTAATTCTAGATGGGAGTGCAGCATAGAAAGACCCAAGTCTATTGGAAATGAGAAGATACATAACAGTCACTCTTTGGGAGAAAATAAGTTGGGAGGGAAAGTTCTTTTTGAGGGAGTGTAGGGACAGCTAGGTGGGATGATCAATAAGATGGAGACTTTTTTTTCTTTGCTCTTTGGCTATCATTGGTCAATTGTCAGGGCCTTCCTTAACTGACCCTGAAGGCGCTCAGTAGCCTGAAATATCAATACTAAATTAATCTAGAGTCTGTACAACTTATGAGTGTCCACCCTATTACCTTCTATGCTTCCTTTACGTGTTAGGCTAGCCAGAGTTGATCCTCCTGAAACCATTGACTGATTGCTCTTAGTATTTTGTTCTCCAGTGCTTATTCCAGTTCAGTTTTGACCAAACCAATAGGTTTTCCCTAATTCCATGCCCTGACACAGGTCACGGTCTGAAAAGTTTTCCTGACGCTCATATTGAATTCTTGCTTTTCTTAATTTAGTATCTCTGCATTGTCCCAAATAATTCATTATCGGTGGTGTTTACACCATGAAAACTTTGCTGACTGTAGTCATGATACTATGCCCATCATTAATTATTGCTTAGCTAAGTTATTGTGGGTGCTGCTTATGTCTCTTATTAAGGATCTGGTATAATCTCCAGTTGTCTTATCAAACGCACTGTTCTGAAATATGATCTCTTACAATGACATTTTCAGTATGTCAGTATCTGAAGTGGATGTTTTTTAATTCTTAGGCATTTTGTAATTGAAGTAGAGCTGCTTTACCTATTTTAGAAGGTTGGCAGAAAATGGTTTTCTGGAAAATTCTGGTTTTGACAAGAACTGCAAGAAAAATGGTTGAAATTTGAAGTGTAGGAAGGAGATTTCTCTGGGACCTTCCATCTTGTTAGGTTTAACAGAAAACATTCTTTTTGATGCCATTGAGCTTCATTCATTTTTAGGTATTGCCCACATTGAATTTTAAAGCCTAATTTCTATTGTAGGAAGTATAATACTTATTAAGTAATACAGTTGAGCATGTTCCATTTTTTTAAAAACCTACAACAAACTACACATATGTGCCATTGCACTTGCAGTGTTAAAATAACAATGTCAAGAAACACCAAAGTTAAGATTTCACCAGCAACTTAATGCCACCACGTTGCACATGCTAATATATTCTATTCTCATGTTCTTGATTAAATATGTAAAGCTTAATAAATCATTTGCATTAAATAGATTTCATAGAACATATGGGATATACAGTGTGGCCAAATAAGTTGTTGCTGGACCCTTAATTTTTATCTCTTAATTTATGGTGATTTCATAGACATTAGGGCTGGAAGGGACCTCATGAGATCATGAGGTCCAGCCCTCTGCCCAAAAGGCAGGAAGTCAGTTGGGGTCAATTTTGGTCTTTCCCAGCGCTGTCAAATGCAAAGCCTCCCTCAAAGTACAAGCTCTTAGCTCTCTCTTGGTTTTTTAACTACAGAAAAATAATAGAGCAATTCTTTTGTTGCAAAAAACTGAGAAAGATCACAACAGATAAGGATGTTTTTGATACTGAGGATTCCTGTTTGAAATCTCTGGGCTTATCTTGTGAATCATGTGTAGGTGTTTGCACACCTAACAGTGCTAATACTGTGTGGCACCCCTAAAAGAATTTTGTGACATCCTGGTTGAGAATCACTGGAATACTTTCATTCTGCAACCATAGCATTGTGCTAATTTTGCTTTTTGCATTTAATCACATGATGGTTTTTTCTTCAGAAACTGCTGCTTCTAGTCCTCTGAACTTTGCCAGTTTGTTAGTACTTTTTTCTGGTTACAGAGGGCCCAGTTGTTTCAGAGGCAGAGAGAATTAGGAGTATGCTTTCCTGTATTGTGATTTGATGACTGCAGTGTAAAACTCCAAGCTTCGTTTATCATTTTGCTTTGCAAACTTGTGAAACTTGGCTTCTCATTTTGTTGCTGCTGTTTTTGTTTTTCTCTGATACTTTTTAATCTTCCTTTGTTTTCACTAGTATTTGCATTTGCTTCCACTAGCATAATATACCGTTTCCACTTTGCTCTAAATCATCAGCAAGAATGTTTAGCAACTCCATAAATAACAGCTTTTGACGCTTTGTTAAATATCATCCCAAACTCACTACTTCACTAGTTTTGGTTCATCATCTAGTTTTCAGTGCATGTCATTGTTCAAGTTACTTTAACTCATTTTGTATAAAATTAATGTATTTTGGAAATATTAGAAACTGCATTTCTATCATCAACTAATTTTTATAAAATTAGTACTATTTTTGTCTTAAGAGAAAAATATTGCTAAATCTTAAGACTTTTAGTTTACTAGGGATAGAAATTAAATGCAAGAAGGAATTTGCTAGTTAAATTTCGGGGGGGGGGGTTCTTTTTCTTGAACATTAAGATCATTTGTTTTTAATTTTCTCCATTATCTGTAACACTTGAAAAAATAATTCAGTAGCTTGATAATTTTAGGGGGATAATTCCTTTAATGGACTCTCAGAAGTTTAGGGCTGGAAGCAGGCTGGACCCAGTGATCTCACGAGGTCCCTTCCGGCCCTAAATTTCTGTGAGGGGAATTAGCCCCCCAAAATTACCAAGCTACTGAATTATTTTTTCAAGTGTTACAGGTAACTGGGGAGAAAATGGAAAACAAAGCAATCTTAATCTTCAAGAAAAAAACGAAACCCTGAAACTTTAACCCCTGAACTTTAACTGTCTTGGATGCATGTGATCTGAACCCACTAATTTGAATATGGGTGACCACCTGTCCCTAATTGGGCAGGACAGTCCCAGAATGGGAACATCAAGTCTGTGTCCTGGGCTGCGTGACTCTGGGACAGCAATTGTCCTGGATTTGCAGTATTCTGCAGGGATTGGGAAATAGCAGGTTTCTCCTTGCAGGTTGGCAGCGTTCCAGCCTGCCTGGGGCTGGCAGGATCAGGATGCAAGGGGCACCATGTGCACGTGTGTGCCCACACATGTGCACGTGACAGGAGAGGGCATGGGGGGGAGGGGGCGCACATGCTTCCCTCCCTCCCCCCCCCCAGATTTGTATGTGGGGCAGGGACAGATTTGAAACATTGAAATTTTTCAAGTGTTTACTTACAGTTCATCAATAATCATTGCTACAGATTTCAGTTACTTTCCACTCTTATTTGTTCAAGGGCAAATTTTTAAAAGTATTTTGCTATCCTGTTTTAGACTTTCATCTCTATCTGCAGTTCTTAATAGACTTGCTTTTTTTCTCTAATACTACTTTTAACCCTGATTGTATATTATTCTTATATCCATTAATTCCTCTGGATAGTATCTTATTTGACTTCTTAGCTGCCCCTTTTTTGTTTTTGTCTTCCCCCACAAGCTTTAACTATTGTAAAATTACTTTGCCTCTGTCTTTTTCCCACTTCCAATACTCGGTTTATTTTAGCTTCAAATTATAAACAATTCTTCTCTAAGTCAGTTAGGCTTCTGGTCTTTCTTTGTAAATGCTGGGCCATCATACTTTTAAGTTATCATGTCTTTCAGTTCTCCAGCCTTTTTCCATAGTGGTGGATTTAAATAATTCCCATTTCCACCTTACTAGACTTCTTCCTGGAGTCTAATTTCCTAAATTGCTGGATAGTGTGAGCCCCTGTTCTTTACTATTACAAATATCAAATAAGCTGTGTCTGGTGGTATTAGCAGTTCCCTATCATCACATTTCCAATCCTTTGCTTTCTACATGAGTTCTCTTAGGCATCCTCCTGCATCAGCTGTAATCTACAACAATCTCTCTCTACTTCTTATGCTCACAGAATTTTCTTCTAAATTACTATGTTTACTCAGATCCATGACAAGGGGTTTTTTCCCACTCAACATGAGGGGAAAAGAAACCTTATCTTAGATTCAAGTATGGCCAGGGCAAGTGTTAGCTGCAGTTCTGGCTCCAACTCTGGCCCTGACCTGAGGGAAAGTGTAGGATGGGGAGGGTGGTGCAGGGTTGGGGAAGTGCAGAGGAGAGATCTGTATGGATGGGGAAGCTGTTGCAGCTCGAGCTCTGTGCCCTAAGCTGAAAATGAAGCTGGAGTCAAAGCCACTGCATAGGGTAAACTGTGGGGCAGGGGGTGAACAGGGGTCAGACTCCCTGCCCCTGTGCTGCCGCTTTTCCTCACTGTGACAGTGAGGGGCATAAATTTAAGATGACCCTCCAATAATTAAACTCTGTACATGGAAAATTGTAACAAATGTGTAAGTTTCCATGTATAGAGTCCAATTAGTTGGGGGGGGGGGGAAT